TAACCACCCACAGGAATGGATAAGGTGTGACTACCACCCACAGGATGGGTAAGGATGGACCTACCACCCACCAGATGGTAAGGGGTGACTACCACCCACAGTATGATAAGGGGTGACTACTCACCCACATGATGGATAATGGTTGGACTACCACCCACAGGATGTGTATGGGTGACTACCCACCCACAGGATGGGTCTGGTGTGACTACCACCCACAGGAAGGATAAGGGGTGACAACCACCCACCATTAAGGAAAGAAGGGGTGACTTACCATTCACAGGACTGGGTATGGGGTGACTACCACCCACAGGATGGATAAGGGGTGACTACCACCCACAGGATGGGTCTGGGGCGGCTACCACCCACAGGATGGGTATGAGGTGACCACCCACAGGATGGGTCTGGAGTGACTACCACCCACCAGGAGGGTATGAGGTGACTACTACCCACAGGAATTGGGTGGGTCTGGGGCGACTACCAACCACAGGATGGGAATGAAGGTGACTACCACCCACAGATGATCTGGTTATGCACTTCCACCCAACAGGAAGGGTATGGGGTGACTACCACCCACAGGACGGGTATGGGGTGATTACCACCCACAGGATGGGTATGAGGTGACTACCACCCACGGGATGGGTATGGGGTGACTACCACCCACGGGATGGGTATGGGTTGACTACCACCCACAGGATGGTATAATGGGGTGACTACCACCACAGGATGGGGAAGGGGTGACTACCACCCACAGAATGGGTAAGGGGCGACTACCACCCACAGGATTGTTAAGTGGTTGACTAACAACCACTGGATGGAATGGGATATACAAGCCACCCCCAGTATGGGTATGGGTGTGACTACCACCCAAATGATGGGTATGGGGTGCCTAACGCGACCCACAGGATGGGATGAAGGTGTGACAAAGCCACCCACAGAATGGTATGGGGTGACTATCACCCACGATGGATGGGTATGGGGTGACTACCACCCTACAGGATGGTATGGGGTGACTACCACCCACATGAGGGTATGGGTGACAACACCCACAGGATGTATGGAGGACTTCCACCCACAGTAATGGGTATTGCCGTGACTTACCACGCCACGGAGGATGTGTATGGGGAGACTACCACCCACAAGGATGGTATGGGTGACTACCACCGCACAGAATGGTATGGGGGTGACTACCACCCACAGGATGGGTATGGGGTGACTACCACCCCCAAAATGGGGAAAGGGGGGTTTCTACCACCCCCAGGATGGGTTTGGTGTGACACCACCCACAGGGGATAAGGGGGGACTACCACCCACAGGAAGAAAGGGGGGGACTACCACCCCAGGATGGATAAGGGTGACTACCACCCACGGGGGTTGGGGGACTACCACCCAAGGGTGGGTATGGGTGACTACCCCTCACAGGATTTAAAGGGTTACACCCCCACAGGGTGGAAAGGGGTGACTACCACCCACAGGGTGGGAAAAAGGGTACTACCACCCACAGGATGGGTAGGGTGACTACCACCCACAGGTGGATAAGGGTGACTACCACCCCCAGGATGGTAAGGTGTGACTACCACCCCCAGGATGGTAAAGGGGGGGGCTACCACCCAAGAGATAAGGGTACACCACCCACAGGGTGGGTATGGTGTGACTACCACCCCAAAAATGGATAAGGGGTGACTACCACCACATGATGGGGGTGGGGTGACACCACCCCCAGGATGGATAAGGGGGACTACCACCCAAGGAAGGAAAGGGTACTACCCCCCACAGGAGGGAAAGGGTGACACCACCCACAGGGTGGATAAGGGGACTTTCCCCCACAGGATGGGTTGGTGTACTACCACCCCCAGGGTGGGTAAGGGGGGGACAAACCACCACAGGATGGTATGGTGTACTACCCCCCACAGATGGATAAGGGGGGATACCACACACAGGATGGGGAGGTGTGACTACCACCCACAGATGGGTAAAGGGGGACTACCACCCACAGGGTGGATAAGGGGGAATCCACCCACAGGATGGGGGTGGTGTGACTACCACCCAAGGGTGGATAAAGGGGGACACCACCCACAGGGGATAAGGGGTGACTACCCCCACAGGATGGGTATGGTGGACTACCACCCACAGGTGGATAAGGGGGACTACCACCCCAGGGTGGATAAGGGTGACTACCACCCCAGGGTGGGTAGGTGTGACACCACCCACAGGATGGATAAAGGGGGGACTACCACCCACAGGGTGGGTAGGGTGACACCCCCCCAGGATGGATTTGGGGTGACTACCACCCACGGAGGTAGGGGTGACACCACCCACGGAGGATAAGGGGGGACTACCACCCACAGGATGGATAAGGGGTGACTACCACCCACAGGATGGATATGGGGTGACTACCACCCACAGGATGGATAAGGGGTGACTACCACCCACAGGATGGATAAGGGGGGCTACCACCCCAGGAGGATAAGGGGCACCAACCACAGGGTGGTCTGGGTGACTACCACCCACAGATGGATAAGGGGGGACTACCACCCACAGATGAGTCGGGGTGACTACCACCCACAGGATGGGTAAGGGTGACACCACCCACAGGATGGGTATTGGGGTCTACCACCCACAGATGGGTAAGGGTGACTACCACCCCGGGTGGATAAAGGGGGGGCTACCACCCCAGGATGGATAAGGGTACTACCACCCACAGGATGGATAAGGGGTGACTACCACCCACAGGAGGGTAAGGGGGGCTACCCCCACAGGGTGGGAAAGGGGTGACTACCACCCCCAGGGTGGGTAAGGGGTGACACCACCACGGAGGATAAGGGGTACTACCACCCACAGTGGATGGGGTGACTACCACCCACAGGGGATAAGGGGGGGACTAAAACCACCCACAGGATGGATAAGGGGTGACTACCACCAAGGATGGATAAATTTTTGACTACCACCCCCAGGGTGGTATGGTGTACTACCACCCACAGATGGATAAGGGGGGACTACCACCCACAGGATGATAAGGGGGGCTACCACCCCCCAAAATGGATAAGGGTGACTACCACCCCCAGGGTGGATAAAGGGGGGACTACCACCCACAGGGTGTAAGGGGTGACTACCACCCACGGATGGTAAGGGGTGACTACCACCCCCCAGGTGGATAAGGGGGGACTACCCCCAGGGGGATAAGGGGGGGACTACCCCCCACAGGATGGTAAGGGGGGACTCCACCCCCCAGATGGATAAGGGGGGTACCACCCCAATAAAGGGTGACTACCCCCCACGGAGGATAAGGGGTACTACCACCCACAGGATGGATAAGGGGGACTACCACCCACAGATGGAAAGGGGGGAAAACCCCCCACAAAATGGGGAAGGGACTACCACCCCCAGGGGAAAGGGGGGACTACCCCCCAAGGATGGATAAGGGGGGACTACCCCCACAGGGTGATAAGGGGACTACCACCCACAGGATGGATAAGGGGTGACTACACCCACAGGGTGGGTAAGGGGTGACTCCACCCAAAGGATGTAAGGGGGGACACCACCCACAGGATGGTAAGGGGGGACACCACCCCCAGGGTGGGTAAGGGGGGACACCACCCACAGGGTGGGTAATTTCACCCCCACGGAAGGATAAGGGGTGACTCCCCCCAAGGATGGATAAGGGGTGCTACCCCCCACAGGGTGTAGGGGTGACACCACCCCCAGGATGAAAGGGGTGACTACCACCCCCAGGATGGGTAAGGGTACTACCACCCAAGGATGGATAAGGGGGGAACCACCCACAGGGTTGGGTGGGGTGAAAACCCACATGGATAAGGGGACTACCACCCACAGGATGGATAAGGGGTGACTACCACCCACAGGATGGATAAGGGGTGACTACCACCCACAGGATGGGTATGGGGTGACTACCACCCACAGGAGGATAAGGGTTACCCACCCACGGGTGGGAGGGGTGACTACCACCCACAGGGTGGGTATGGGTACTACCACCCCCAGGGTGGGGATGGGTGACTACCCCCACAGGGTGGGTAAGGGGTGACACCACCCCAGGATGGTTGGGTGACTACCACCCACAGATGGGTAGGGGGGACAACCACCCACGGATTTGGTAAAGGGTACTACCACCCCCAGGATGGGTAGGGGGGGACTACCACCCCAGGGTGGGTATGGGGTGACTACCACCCAAGGATGGATAAGGGGCTAATAAACTAAACTAACTACCGTAATAATTATTTTCAACAAAGGACACAGAGGCACAATTGGAAATGTTTTAAAATATGAAAATAATTTTTTAAAAGGTGGACCGGGACCAGTGGAAGGCCTTGCTCAGGTAACCGAAAGCTCCACGTGGGGTCATCACTAAGACCCGCGTCAGGAAACCTTTGTCCTTTTTTCCCGACAAACTTTACCTAACCTAAATTCACAATACAGTGACTGGAACAACACACAAATAACCCGTCATAGGAGAGAGAAGCTGACCACGACGTTTCTGTCCGATTTATATATATTATATAATATATATATATATATATATATATATATATATATATATATATATATATATATATATATATATATATATATGCAAAACAACCACTCTGAAAGAATAGAGAAATTCCAAGCGCTTTCGTGACTACTCACATTATCATAGTTCCTTGATAATGTGAGTAGTCACGAAAGCGCTTGGAATTTCTCTATTCTTTCAGAGTGGTTGTTTTGCATATTCTGAAATCACCTGTTTACTGTGATCTTATTGCATATATATATATATGCATATATATAGAGGTGGTACTTTTTAGATTAAAAAAAAATATATATATATATATGTATATATATATATATATATATATATATATATATATATATATATATATATATATATATATATATATATATATATATATATACATTATATTCATGTAATATATTGATAAAGCCACTGGATGGGCACAGGAGTATAATTCATAATCTTGTGGGTATTGAATACCACTGATACTCACTGTGTTATTGTCTTGGTTGTATTGAAGGTGATGTCAGCTTCAACGTTGATGGTGGTGTTGCTGGAGGTGTTGATGATGTCAGAAGTGATGAGAGGAGAGGTTGTGACGTCGGGGTCGTGCTGTGATGACACACATGTATATGGAACCTGGGGGGCCAGGAAGGCCCCTCCCAGAGCGTGGTATGACGGCAGTGAGTATGCTGGGGGGTAATAATATCAGTTATGAAGCTGTGGGTATGTTAAGGTAAACACAGTCTTTGTTTACTCGTAATTATGGTTATTTGTAAAGATGTGTGTAAGTGGAAGACGTCTGGTGACACCTGAGACTCCAGTGTTTACATCCAGATGCCATTCGCAAATACTAATATTTATCTCCTTGTAAAGTTTACGATGTGTGGTTTACATGTTATAAGATTTTAATTACAAAGATGACCAATAAAATCTTGTAACATGTAAACCACACATTTTAAACTTTGGAGAAAATTAATATTTGTATTTGTGAATGGTATCTTGCTGAAATAATTTTAAATTATTATTATTATTATTATTATTATTATTATTATTATTATTATTATTATTATTATTATTATTATTATTATTATTATTATTATTATTAGGATTATTATTATTATTAAAATAAGACGTCTAGTAGATTCTTATCACAAAAGAGATCGTGGTCAAAATTGATGATACTTATATTGACTAAATTTTTCTGCGTGAAAAAACCACGAAACTTGGAGGTCATGTGACCTTAAGCTGAGTCAGGCTACGGGGGGGGGGGGAGGGCTGTAAACCTCACTCAGGGAAAAGGATCTTGGGGTGAGTTTAATACCGAGCATATCTCCTGTGGCGCACATCACCCAAATAACTGCTGCAGCATATGGTCGCCTAGCAAACCTCAGAACAGCATTCCGACATCTTAATAAGGAATCGTTCAGGATCCTGTACACTGTGTACGTTAGGCCCATATTGGAGTATGCAGCACCAGTTTGGAACCCACACCTAGCCAAGCACGTAAAGAAACTAGAGATAGTGCAAACGTTTGCAGTAAGACTAGTCCCAGACCTAAGGGGAATGCCCTATGAGGAGAGGTTAAGGGAAATCGACCTGACGACACTGGAGGATAGGAGAGTTAAGAGGGATATGACAACGACATATAAAATACTGAGAGGAATCGACAAGGTGGGCAGATACAGGATGTTCCAGAGATGGGACACAACAACAAGGAGTCACAGTTGGAAGTTGAAGACTCAGATGAATCACGGGGATGTTAGGAAGTATTTCTTCAGTCACAGAGTATGTGGAGAAATTTTCTCCAGGAGGGGGGTATCAGCCCCCTTCAGCCCCTTTCAACCCTTTCAGCCCTGAGGGGCCCAGCCCTCTCAGAAGGGGCAAGCGTCTTGTTTACTGCTACAGTGAGTAATTGATCCCAGATGCAGTACCAGTATGCAACGTATGGTCAAGCGACCGCCGCTCCGTGCGGTCCAGTGTTGCAGAGTGTATTTTAATAAGAGACAGTACATCTCTTACCTTAGCAGGACAATTAAGGAAAATCCTTCTCCCACTTTATTACCATAGTAAAGATAGTGGACATTGTTGTCTATGCTTAAGACAGCAAGATTTAAACATTCTGCTTTGCTTCATCGAGGAAGTGGCAAGGAAGCATAAGTACTAGGTCAGCTTTTCCTTTGTGCTAGGGGCAGTGATGGCGTGGGGCATTGTAGCGTCTTCAGATTACTTTTGACTCTACTGAGAGTGACACTGATGCCAGGATAACCAACAAAGAACGATCTGTGTGTTAGTGTGAAGAAAGTGTCTCACAAAACACAATAAACACTTACAGAGAAGTGTGAAACAGCTTCTTTAGTGATAAGATTGTGAACAATAAAGACAAAACTTGTGGGAAA